TCAGATGGAGACGCCCAACCCTCATTGCTTATTTCCTCAATCTTTATTCTTTAAGGCCTTACTTGCTTTTAAAGTCTTCTTTAAAACCTTTCTTAAAACCTCTTTTCTGAGACTCTCACTGTCCCATGATTTCTCTTTGCTTATCTTTAGCTTAATCGCTCTTAAAGTCTTTTGCCCCCAGGCTTGCGGCTTTTCTTTGGCATTCTGTCTTTAGCTATGTTAAAGCCTCAGTATGACCCAAACATTGTATGCACATATGAATTAAAAAAAAAAAAAAAAACCTCAGTGCTCGACTTGTAAAGTCTGGGTCCTCTATCTTGTACTGTCTCATGTTATCTTTGGCTTGTCTTTAGTTTCTAAAGCCCTATGTTAACGTTCTTTCTTTGGCTCAGCTTTCTAAGGCCTATGTTAAAGTTCTCGGTGCATACTTTCTATCAACCCCTCTTTAGCCATACTTTTCCCTTCAACAATTTCCCTTTAGCAATTCTTTTCCCTTCAGTAATTCTTTTCCCTTCTAAAAGCTTCCCACACCAAAAAGCCCAAAGCAAATGAATCAAGCCAAAGCCCAAGCCAAAGCCCCCAAAACCAAAGCCCAAAAAGCCCTCCAAACCAAAAGCCAAGCCCTCCTTCATTGGTGGCAAACAGGGTGGAGCAGAGGCTCTCTAGGAGGGGAATAACATTGAAACAGGAGAAACCTGCATTCCTGCTTCTCTGCATGCAAGCTTAGGAGACGCAGCTGTTCTGCTGTTTCTGTTTTGTGACTGGGGCTGGGCCTATCTCAGCCTACAGATGAAAGCAATTAAGCCGCGTCTCGCCTTGTTTATGTCCAGTTCTCATAGGCTTTACATAATCCACTCCACAATATTGTATGATTCCACTTGTGTGCAGTACCTAGAATAGTCAAATTCATAGGAACAGAAAGTAGAACAGAGGTTACCAGGGGCTGGAGGAAGGGGAAATTATTGTTTAGTTGATATAGAGTATGATATAGAATAATAGATTTCTGGATCTTGATGGTGGAGATGCTTACGCAACAGTGAGAGTGTGCTTAATGCCACCGAACTGTATACCTAACGTGGCTAAAATGATGAAGTTTTGTTTTATATATATATATATATATATATATATATATATATATATATGTATTTATAATCACAGTAAAATAATGAAAGTGTTATGTATATATTTATTTATATATATATTTATTTATATCACAATAAAATAATGACTGGACTTTGAATGATAAAGGCAAGTCCAGTTACTATTAGAGAAACCAAAATCTTCTAGAATGTACTTTCATGGTTCTAGAATACATACATTCCACTAACAAAACACATTTCACCTTGAAAATTTTCAGGTAACAGACTATGAATGCATTGTGTTCTCATGGTCTGAAAATCCCATTATAATGAAGAGAGGAGCAAAAAACATATCTGAAGCTTTTGTTAAAGAAAAAGATTCCTTTTTATATAAATGTTTTGTTGAAAATATTTTCATATTATTGGTGTGTTTTTCATTTGAGAAAATAATTTTTCATCTCTCCCCAGGAAAAGCAATTAAAGAGCAAACTGAGAGACTCATTCTCCACTTCCAATGAGTCCTTCCAGCTATAGATCTAGCCAGTGATAAGATCATGAAAACTTTCAATCATACAGAAAAGTAGAATTTTAAATTGATGTGGATGCTTACCAATCAAAATTTAACAAGAGTATTTAAAATCTGCCCCCAAATCATTAAGTTTTCAGTTATCTAAACCAGAAACCTGAAGGCAAAGGCTGTCCCTTTCTTTCTTTTGCCTCCCCTATCCAATCACTAAGTTCCCTGATGATTCTTCCTGCTTTCAAATAATTCTTGTCCTTGCCCCCCTTTTTTTCTATACCGCCACTAACTTAATGGATTACCTGTTACCTCTTACATGATCTCCATGCCAGCAGGGTCAAAGACCTCCCATTCATCCACATTGCCAGATAATTGTTTTAGCCTGCACTGTAATTATTTCACTTCTTTATTATTCAGAGTTCTTTAATGATTTCCTGTAACCTATAAAACAAAATCTGAAGTCAATCATAGAATATTGTCCCTCTGGATGATACTCTTCCAATATATGTAGCACCTTGTCCTCATACTTTTTTTTTTAATCATACACAGCCTTTTTTAAAAGTATTTTTTATATTTTTTATTGTCATATTATTGTACTGAAGGTACATTGTGACATTTACAAAAGTTCTTACAATATGTCATATTTGAATTCACCCCCTCCATCATTCTTTATCCCCTCTCCCCCATTCTTGGAATAGTTTCAACAAGTCTCATTTTACCATTTTCATACGTGAGTACATAATATTTCCATCACATTCATCCCCCACACCCTTTCTTTATATCCTCCCTACTCCTACTTGAACCATACCCCAGGCAGGACCTATTTTACCTTCTTGTTCTCCATCTTTGAAAAAAGAAAAGACATTATTATTTGTTTAAGATGGCTATACAGGGAGGGGAGAGGCTGAAGGAAAGAGAGTAAGGTGACAGTTTATGGTTGATGGACTTCAAATACCTATATGAAATAGAACTAAATAACCTCTTGCAATTGCTTTAAGGTGGAGGTGGGGAGGAGGATAAGGGAGAGAGACAATGGGGGCAATGTAAATAATGTACAACATGTCTAATCAGAATTGTCATTATGAATCCTCCCCATATAATGAATATATCCTAATAAAAATTTATAATAATAAAAAAGAATAATTGTATGAGCTAATGGATGTGTTAATTAAGTTGATTGTGGTAATAATTTCACAATGTGTACATGTGTCATATCATCATGACATTGTAAAACTTGTATATATGCAATTTTTATTTGTCTGTTAACCCTCAATAACACTAGGAGATAAAGAGGAAAAAAAGAATACTATATAAAAGCAATTGTATGGAATGTAACCTTTTGACATTGTCTTTTTTTTCTTTCTTTTTTTTTTTTTTTTTTGGGATAGAGTCTGTTTGTAGCCCAAGCTGGCCTTGAACTCTCAATCTTCCTGCCTCAGCCTAACCTTACACTAAGATTATAAGCCTATGCCACTACACCCAATAAGATTGTCTTTTTTTTTTAAACTCAAAATAATTTCCTTGAGATTTATCTGTTATTGTATGTGTAAATAGTTCATTACTTTTGTGTGTGTATGCTGGGGATCATTACTTTTTATTATTAGTGATAATACTTGGGTTACTGTCAATTTATGGCTTTTACAAATAAAGTCACTATGAATTTTCATGTAAAAAAAAAGAAGATTGCTATACAGGGACATTCATTTTGACATTTCCATGTATATATGTATTATAACCCAAATTGGTTCATCCCCTCTATTTTGCTTCCTTTCTACCTTAGTCCCCTTTTGTAATTTCAACAGGCTTAAAAATTCTGTATTCATTCTTATATAGGAGTACATCAACCATATTCATCTTCTTAATTTCCTTCATTTACTCTCCCTCTCCTGTTAGTGACCTCCCTTTAGTGTGGCCTGTTTTTCATAATATTGTTTGTATTTGTATTGGGCCTATATTCTACATATGAGAGAAAATATGCAGCCTTTGGCTTTCTGAAGCTGACCACTTTCACTCACTCAAGATGATGTTCTCCATTTTCATCCATTTACCTCCAAATTTTAAAAGTTCATTCTTCTTTATGGCTGAATAAAATTTCATTGTATACAAATACCACATTTTCTTAATCCATTCATCGGTAGTGGGACATCTTGGCTGTTTCCATGGCTTTTATTGTGAATAATGCTGCAAAAAACATGGAAATACGTATGTCTTTATTGTATACCTGACTTACATTCCTTTGGGTATATCCCTAGAAGTGGTATTGTTGGATCATATGGCAGTTTTATTTTTAGCTTTTTGAGGAGCCTCCATACTGTTTTTCATAGTAATTTACTAATTTACATTCCCACCAACAGTATATGAGGGTTCCTTTTTCCCCACGTCCTCACCAACATTTGTTATTGTTTGTGTTCTTGATGATTGCCATTCTAATAGGAGTGAGGTAGAATCTTAGTGTGGTTTTGATTTGCATTTCCTTTATGGCCAGAAATGTTAAGCATTTCTCATGTTTTTTGGTCATTTGGACTTCTTCCTTTGACAAACTCTGCTCAGTTCATTTGCCCATTTCTTCATTGGGTCATTGATGTTTTGGGAGTTTAGTTTTTTGAGCTCTCTGTATATTCTGGTTATTAATTCCTTGTCAGATGTATAGCTGGCAAAGATTTTTCTCTCATTCTGTGGGCAACCTCTTCAATCTGATGACCATTTCTTTTGTCATACAGAAGCTTTTTAGTTTCAGGTACTCCCAGTGTCAGTCCTTTCCCTTAGTTGCTAAGCCATTTGAATTCAATTTAGGACATGAGAGACCTCCTCACTCTTTACATTTCAACAATTCTGTTCTGAAATTGTAGTTTTCTAAGCACTCTGGACTCACTCACTCCATTCTCTTCTGTACAGTGTTGTCTGGAAAGCCCTCCCTTAAATAAGGAATCATTGCACCATCCAAATAAAGGAGATTCTTTGTGGATCACAAATTAATTCTCTCCAAAGGGCCATAATACCCTCTACTGCGTTTCCTTCTCGCTTTTAGGAACAGTATAGTGGAAGCAATTGGAGAACATATAGCAGGGCCTTATCACTTAAGTCTCAGTTCAGATGGTTCCTCTTCTCTTAAACCTTTCCTGACTTCAAGCTGACTTAGGTTTTTCTTCCATATGTTTCCACTATATTTCAGATGCACTGTCATTGTAGAATAATTGTCATAGTATATAATAAGTACTTAACACCTGTCTCACCACTAAGCTGTAAGTTCTGTGAAGAACAATAACATTTTTTGTTTATACATTCCAAGTGTCTAGCACAGTGCTAGATACGTGTTGACTGAATACATACATGAGTAGAAGTTTAATGTTATACATATTCCGATTTTAAAGTGCTATATATTAGTATATCCTTTTACACAGGTGAAAATGAACAACTAAAAAGAAATGCTGAGCTTATGAAAGAGAAGTTTAAATCTCATGAACAGGTGAGTTACATACCATTGTATTTAATCAAGTCCTTGTAGAGCATTTATTTATTCAAATTAGAAAAAAGAGAGGTTATTTTGATTAATAAACACAGCCAAAATTTATGTCTATGTGGATATAAGTAGATTATATGCCAAGTCTTTAGTAAGTGAACAATTTGTTTTACATTTTGAGAATCCTAGTCTTTTTACAAAACAGGCTGTACTAATATATTGCTTGCATTACTTTTCCTACCAAGAAGTGGTGTCATTATTTTGCTACATATTTTTCAATAGTAGAATATTCTCTGTTAGTCAGCTGGTCAGCACTTTTGAACTTTTTTTTATTATAAAATGAATGAGTCTATACTCGTTGTGATTTGGGTTATCATTGCACCATCTAAATAAAGGGGGATTTTAATGGAGATTACAAATTAATTTTTGCCCAAGGTCCATGATAGCCTCTGCTACAATTCCTTTTTTCCTGTAGGAACACCATAATAGCAATTGCAGAACATCAACACAGTGCCTAAAAAGTATTAAAAGAACTTAATAAATGTCAGTTCCCTTCCCTCTGCCCTTGGGGAAGTTTACTGTGCTAACTTTGTCTCATTTCCCAAAAGCTATTATCTCAAATTTTGGCAGATCTAAGATCTCTAGAACTCAAGTTGGACCTACAGCAGGCTTCAGCTTAAAGGATCTTCTGTAAATTGACTCTGATTTCTCATGTGAGGAGCCCTTGAAAAGAAACTCTAGCTAGTTCTAGAAACCTGCCAAGGAGCTGTCCTTTTGGAAAATTCAGCTTTTCATTTAAGTATTTCTTAAATGAAAAGTATATCTTTAGGTGGCAAAGTCAGTGAGGGTGAAGAGGTACATTGAATTTCCTCTTATTTCTTAGAGCAACAATGACTTATTGCAATATAGTTTATGAAAGCTATTATATTTGGCTTTTCTGGTTGTTCTTTTATAGATACACACAAATGGAAAATGACAATTTGTGAGATTCATCCCTGAATTTGGCCCAGCTCAGAGCAAAGCCAAGAAATTAGAATAGGTTTGGCTATACCCTGCAATTTGGCTGGCAGAATAAGTAGCACAAATAGGAATCCAGACTACTAGATCCTTTATCTGGGATAATTATAGAGCGATACATAAGTCATTACATCTTGACTCTTTGTTGTTTTTGTTTTACTTCCTTAATACCTTTGAATATCTATTAATAGCTATGAACCCTCTCTGGGAAAAATACTCACAGGCACGTGTGTGTGCCACAGGCAAACACACACACACACACAAAGTTTTGCATAAAATTTTGGTGGATTCTCAGATGTCCATTCACTGGGTCTGAAAAGCCCTGACTTAAGTAGTCCTTATTAGCACTCCCATTCATTCAACATACATAGATCTGTGCATGGTGGTACATGCCTATAGTCCCAACTACTCAGGAGGCTCAAACAGGAGTATCTTTTGAGCTCGGGAGTTTGAGACCAGCCTGAGCAATATAGAGAGACCCCCATCTCAAAATAAACATATTTAAAGATGAAGATGCAAGGATTTGGAAATGCAAGCTTTTGTGGTGTTTAAAGACTTCTCTTGACCTCTTGCCTTTATCATTGTCTTTTTCCTATTGCCTTTTTTTACTCTTTTTGCTTGTCTTTTCTCTTACCTACATCTTAAGCCTATGATGAGTTTCTTTATTATAAGACAATACCCCAGGTAAAATTGTAAATTTAATTTTGGGGCGATTTCTTTTCCATTACAACTAATGTTTCTCTCCCCCATTAGTGTAATAAATCACCATATGCTTCAATAACCTAAGAACCTAATCTTAGCACATGTTAAAGACTTTAAAATCTTAAGTCCATCATTCTCTAGATTCCTACTCATAAAATTAATCCTTACCATGGGTAGTTCTTAATCTTCTGAGAATTATAAGTATTACATAATTTTCAGAACTAGGAGTCAGCCCACATTCAAAGTCAGATAGTACCTTTTGTAAACTCTAAACATGCTTGATTTATATTAAACATATGTTTTAATGTAGTGGCATTTATTCATACAGTTAAATCAAGTTCTTTTGGTGGAATGCTCATTCTACCACTTGAACCACACCTCCAGTCCATTTTGGAGATGGGATCTTGTGAACTGTTTGCCCAAGCTGGCCTTGAACCATGACCTCCTGATCTCAGCCTTTCAAGTAGCTAAGATTACAGGTTTTAGCCACCAGCACCCAACTAAAATCAAATATTTTGAATCTACATGACATACTAAGCACTAATGATGAGTATTCAGGAAGCAAACATTTTAAAAGTCATTGTTTCTATGTGATCTGCATCTCCTAGAGTGTGAAATTGGTCTTTCTAATTGATTTAAAAAAATTGGAGAGGGGGAGATAAGAAAAAGTAATAGATTGAATTTTATCAAAGTACATTTTATGCATATATGGAACTATCACAATGAAACCCCTTTGTATAATTTATGTATGCTAATAAAAGAGAGAGATAGAAAAGAAAACCTGGTCTTTCTTGTGGGACTCATAGCTGCAAAGAGCAGAGTGGTAGCTAACCAGAACTGTGGGTATTGGGGAAACTGTGACTAGGAGACATTGGTCAAATGGTACAAAATTTCAAGTAGGAGAAATAAATTCAGGAGCTCTAGATTACAACACGGTGATTGAACTTTTTTTCTCCTTTTATTTTATATTTTTACATTTGCTTACATGTGTATACATTGTTGTGGCACCGCTCCCCTCCCCCTTCCCTCTGCTCTTTCCAACTCCCATCTCCTCCCCCACAACCACCCCTGTTTCTGGGCAGAACCTGTTCCACCCTCTTGTTCTCTGATTTTGTTGAAGAGAAAACATAGGAGATAATAAGAAAGACATACTGTTTTTTCTAGTTTGAGATATAGATAGCTATACAGAGAGATTCCTAGCGTTGCTTCCATGCACTTGTGAATTGCAACCCACATTGGTTCATCTCTACCAGACCTGTTCGCTACTTCCTGGTCCTCTTTTCATAGTGGACTCTGCCAGTTTAAGATTACTTTATTCACTCCTCTACAGTGAGCACATCAACACATTGAAGTTTTAGGTGTCCTTTCCTTCCCCTATTTCTCCTGTGCATGTTCTCCCCATGTCCAATAATATTATTGCATTTGTTTTGGGTCTATAATCCACATATGAGGGAGAGCATGTGATTTTTGGCCTTCTGAGCCTGGCTAACTTCATTAAGATGATGTTCTCTAGTTCCATCCATTTACTTGCTAATGACAAAATTTCATTCTTCTTTGTGGCTGAGTAAAATTCCATTGTGTATAAACACCACATTTTCTTGATCCGTTCATTGGTAGTGGGGCATCTTGGCTGTTTCCATAGCTTGGCTATTGTAAATAGTGCTGCAGTAAACACGGGTGTGCAGGTGCCTTTGTGATAACTTGAGTCACATTTCTTCAGATATATCCCTAGCAGTGATATTGCTGGATCATATGGCAGTTCTGTGTTTAGTTTTTTAAGGAGCTTCCATATTGTTTTCCAAACTGGTTGTACTAGCTTACATTCCCACTAGCATTGTATGAGGTTTCCTTTTTTCCCCACATCCTTGCCAACATTTGTTGTTGGTAACAGAGGTGAGGTGGTATCTTAGTGTTGTTTTGATTTGCATTTCCTTTATGGCCAGGAGTGGTAAGCATTTTTCCGTGTGTTTTTTGGCTATTTGGACTTTTTTGAAAAAGTTCTGTTTAGTTCAGTTGCCCACTTCTTTATTGGTTCATTGACTTTGTGGGAATTTAGTATTTTGAGCTCCCTATATATTCTAGTTATCAGTCCCTTGTCTGATGTATAGCTAGCAAATATTTTCCTCCACTCTGTGGGTGGTCTCTTCAATTTACAGACCATTTCTTTTGTTGTGCAGAAGATTTTTAATTTCATGTAGTCCCATTTGTCCATCCTTTCTCTTAGTTGCTGAGCTGCTGGAGTTCTGAGGAAGTCCTTACCTACACCTATTGCTTCCAGAGTATTCCTTGCTCTTTTGTGTACTAACTGCAAGGTTTTGGGTCTGATCTTAAGGTCTTTAATCCACTTTGAGTTCATTCTAGTACAGGGTGACAGGCATGGTTCAAGTTTCAGTTTTCTGCAGTCAGATAGCCACTTTTCCCAGCAACATTTGTTGAAAAGGCTGACTTTTCTCCATCATATGTTTTTGGTGCCTTTGTCAAAATTAAGGTGGGCATAGCTGTGTGGATTATTATTCGGGTCCTCTATTTTGTTGCACTGATCTTCATATCTGTTTTTGTGCCAGTACCATGCTCTTTTTATTGCTATGGCTCTGTAACATAGTTTGTAGTTGGGTATTGTGATACCTCCAGCATTGCTCTTTTTGCTGAGTATTGCCTTGGTTACTTGTGGTCTTTTGTGTATCCAAATGAACTTTTGAGTACATTTTTCAATCTTTGTGATGAATGTCATTGGGATTTTGATGGAATTGAGTTGAACATGTAAATTGGTTTTGGTAGTATAGCCACTTTTACTATGTTGATTCTGCCAATCCATGAGCATGGGAGATCTTTCCATCTTTTGTACTCTTCCTTGATCTCTTCCTTCAGTGGTTTGTAGTTCTCCTTGTAGAGGTCATTTACATCCTTCCTAAAGTTTAGTTTACTCCTAGATATTTGACTTTTTTGTGGCTATTGCAAATGGAATTGTTTTCCTATATTCTTTCTGAATTTGTTCATTGTTGGTGTATAGAAAGGCTACTGATTTTTGTAAGTTGATTTTGTATCCTATTACATTGCTGAAGCTGTTCGTGGTATCTAGAAGTTTTTGGGTGGAGTTTTTTGGGTCTTTGAGGTATAGGATCATGTCATCTGCAAATAGGGATATTTTCACTGTTTCTTTACCTATTTGTATTCCTTTTATTTCTTCTTCCTGCCTTATTACTCTGGCTAGGAGTTCCAGGACTATGTTGAATAGAGGAGGAGAGAGTAGGCACCCTTGTCTTGTTCCTGAGTTTAAGAGAAATAGT